CAACACTTTAAGATACAGTTGATTTCAATACCCGGAACTGTGGGAGTGCAAATAAATTAGCTGCTTCCTAGAAGCTCATGAGAAAAACATTACAGATTGCATATTGAGGGGGGGCAGTTGTACTATTCTTCACTGAGTAAATCTTTTACTTTAGAATATGTCTTAAAATATAAAGGATTTCTTAAAATTTATTTAGGTTAGATTTTCAGTTACAGAAACATAAAAGCCTCAGCCTTTTTCGTTCATTATCTGTCGCTTTAGGTGGCTTATAAATAATTTTTCCAGAAAACTGTCTTTTGCTTATTTTTTCCTCATGCCTGGAGAAGTCGTTTGTGTTGTTCTATCTGCAAGCCCACTTGACAATTTTAATGAAGTTAAAAAACATCTCTGCATGAACGCACATGGTATCCCAACGTGCGTATCGGGTTCACACCGGCTTCACATAAAAAGTGAAGCAAGCCACTACCAGATTGGCTGTGAAAATCATGATTCTCCACAAAGTCTCTGTTGATTCGTGAGGCGAACATAGCTAGAAAGATGCCCTCAGGCAAACAGCGAGCAACTGATCAGCAGCTTCCATCTTCCGAAGAAGTGGCAAGCCTTCTCATAAGTCCTGCTTTAGATTTGAATGAAGCCATCAAGGTAGACCCGCATGGTTACAAGAAGGGAGAAAAAGCACACTCAAAATAAGCAAATTATAGGAAAATGTGAGATATTTGAGTCGGTGTTTTAAGTTCTGGACAAACATATCAAGGCAAAACAGATCATAAAGAAGCAAAGTCTAAGGGGTTTGAATTAATTGAGCAAGAAAAAAATGCGCTCAATGACTGGCTTATGGTAGCATCTAGAAAGTTAAGTAAGCAATGTGAAGGGTTTATGAAACAAAACCTCATGGCTCGTTGAAACGAATATCACTGGAGGGTCAGTCATTTTTCTTAAGGGAGTCTTCTGAAAAGGAACCAAAAACTAGATTTTAACGCGACCGAAATCCCAATAAATCTCGAATAAGCAAGCTACTTTAAAAAACAGTGGCAGTAGGACTCGTTCATAAGCCCTGTAAGATATAATAGAAGGTAGATTCTGAAAATACTAAGGAAAACCACCACTTAACACATACTTTCGCTTTTGTTGAAGAAATAAAATTCAGACAAACTAATTGGATCTGGAATATTTATCGGTCTAGATCTCAGCCCGGTTAGCCGTAACAAGAGACGATCAGCAGAGTTAAAAATAGATGGGTGCCGCAAGAACGGTTAAAAATGCTTTTAACTTATGAGTTTCCGCATTATAAAATTTCGGGGCTAAACCATTCTCAAACCACTGTTGGTGGTAGGTGAAAGCTCTCCACAGAATCAAAGGTAAACTACACAAGTGCTTACAGCCACTTGGCAATTTGATGGAGCGCAGGAACGTGGTGAGTACAAAAAATCTTGATGCTATTGCCACTTCAGAGACATGTTTAACGTCAGAAGTGTATGACATTAAAGTTCTCTTAGTTTCTTACTTAGTACGGCTGACTAAGCTGACCGTAGGAGTGGCGGGCTTGTGCTATGAGCGAAAAGTATCTTAACCCTACAAGCTGTCGAGACAGTGGCATAAGGCTCAGGGTCATTTGAACTTATCTACTGCCGGCTGAATTATAAAGGTCAACATATTAACGTAGTTGCAGTGTGCCACAGTCCAAAATGTATAGCATATAACTCCCTCACAAAGAAATAGTAAATCTTGGTAGGTAACTTTGGAGTACGGTCATCAACAACATCGTCTAATTAAAAACAGTTAGAAACTTCAGTCACACTGGCTTTATAATTAGAGATCCCGCCAGATATGACCTATAACATTCATATCGTTCAAACTTACTTTTCACTCACGGTGATGATGTCAGTCAAGTAAATTTAATCCTAGTTTGAAAGAAAAGTGATCATGTGGTCACCTTACTCAAGTTCATAGCTGAGATAGCCTCCCAGGCAGTTGCATTGGCCCATCCCAACATGTTGGAGGAAACATAAAGGCGATCGATTCTTCAGTGTCGGTTGAAAACTGGATAATTCACTCAAGTGTATCGGTTAAAGATGCATGAACCAATTACCGCCAGTTTTAGAGCCAAATAACTCAACCATTTATACCCTGAATAGTCCCCAAAAGATGTATGGCCATACCCACATAAGGAGGGATATTCGAAATTTTCTAATAATAAAGTGAAATGTTAGCAAAATCGACATCAGCCTTGGCACAGCAAGTACGATGGAACGCTACAGCTCAGAACGAAATAAGTACATAAATACAGTCCGGAGAGCTTAGAGAAAATATGAAAGGTAGTTGTCTAAATCAGTAATCATAACAGCCTTAGGGACTATCATCATACATAAATTACAAAACAAGGATGCAGCCTTGGATTCGTAACCCAACCATGGGAGAGAATAGATATCAAATCACATAGGATGAGCAAAACAAAACAGAGTTTATGGCAAACTATTTCGGGACAATTTACACTAAGGAGCCTCTTCAAGACGAAATACTGTGAACTTCGATTGAGACGATGTAGTTTAGGATCTTAGCACATAAGACACGGAAAAGCAACCGAGACAGAATAAATACACCCTAAAGCACTGCGACAAATTGCACAATATATTACTACCCTACTAACTGTAAGATCCAAACTACGGTTGGACTGATGGACAGCTGTCTGGATGAGTAAGATACGCGCCCTCGCCCGTTTGAAACCAAAATAAAGTAATTGGGTGAGATGACGGTTCTATAATTTATTATAAATTTAAGTGTACATTATTACCTAAACAAATATAACCACTCAGCTATCCAACCAGTAATTGTTCAATTGATCAAATATAAATTACAATAAATAAGAAAGTTGACAAACGATGCAAGAAAATTTTTAATCACAACAAATAAATGTTATCCTGTCTGGATAGACCACGTACATATTCGTTCAAAAGGTAATAATTGGTCGCTCTATAACACAGAGTGTTTTCAATTCTGGAAGAGTGCCTCAATTCACAACCAAAATGCACAATTCCAGTCAACACAGGTAAAGCAATCAAAAGGAGGAACAAACCAATACGGCTGTCGCCAAGACTGAGTATAAAGTAAAACAACATAAGTGCAGTTCGGGAAGAAACACGGGGAATTAGTGAAGGTGTAGTAAAAACAAAAACTATAATAAAATACAAATATTAACAATTCAAATGTAATCAACAACTAACAACGTTTAATTAAAGGGACTAATAGGAACAAAGAGTAAGTATGCACATGGAGGGATTTTCACAAACACACAAACATTCCAAATGGACCTTACATCAACTACTATATACAACACGTCACTTGGCCAAGGTGAGTTACCTACCAATTGAAAGATTGCCATCGTCACTCCACTATATAAAGCAGGATCATAAAATCTTCCATCAAACAATACATCTGTCAGCCTCACCAGTATCGTAGCGAAAATAGCAGAAAGAATAATCAAAAAGACAATAATGACATTCGTGGAAACCAACTTGTTAAAAAGTGAAAAAACCGTTTCAGAAAAGGTTTATCTTGCACAACAAATTACCTTATGGCGAGATGGGAATAGATGGAGCCTCTAGACAATGGAAAATCAGTGTATGTTGACCACACAAACCAGCAGAGCATTTGATAGGGCACCGAATCATGGACCCTTTTTGAAGCTAGAAAGTCTAGGAATTTTATGATCTTTGTCAAGCTGAAGCTGATACACGTGCATTTCATGAAGACTTCAATGTTCTGATTAGTCAGTCTAAAAATGGGTGGTACCTATCGTTATCTACTTGCAAACTGGATGTACAACGCCTAATAGGTACAATGTAGGGGGAGAGACGATGCAAATAATCCGGCCTCATGAGGATCTTGAAGCGAGAGTAGGCTATGATCGTAAGGAAACGACCCATTGCCATGAGGTCGCAAGTATGATGTTAATAACTATACGAGCTTTACGTCGAACATTTATCAATTTAAATACTATGTTCACCACAGTATATACAACATTTGTGAGATTACAACTTGAGAACTGAGTTCAGGCTGCAAGATCGTGTGTAAAAGGTGGCTCGGATAATTTTGTAAAGGTACAAAAAGCGGCTACCAGTGCGATTCCAGAACTCTGAAATTTACCATCCGAAGAGCGTCTTGAGAAGATGGACCTGTTTACAATGACCTAGCTCAGATTAAGAGGTTGAAGATGGCACAGGTATTCAGTGTATGACAACGCTTTTACCAGCAACACCTAATATAATTTGTACCCACCAAGAGAAATCAAAAGACAGAATCGAGGAGATCGGAAGAGTGTATTTGGCGATTACCAATATATCGGAATTCTCTGATCTAATCTGGCTAGCGATTGCGGTAGATGTTGAGCACAGCGTTACCACACGTGATCTGGTGCGGATGCATAACCGAGCGCCTTCAGCTAGATGAGTCCACTAAAACATATGGTCAGCATCCAATGTCGAAAACTTACAGAGCTATTTATTTTGGGGATTTATTTACCGCTACAAGGTGATTTGATTATGACATACAGGATACTAAGAAGTGATTTTAAATCTGATATATTGTCTATTTTTCTTTCTACCAGATCGGGAGGATTTAGACGATATAGAAGATGAGTAGAAAAGCCAAGTACGAATAAAATACCCGTAACGAACAGGTCTTCATACAGAATCAATTCTTGGAATCTGTTCTTCGAAGCAGTGTTGTCCTCACCTTCAATTAACTCTGTTAAAGGGAGATCAGACACTCACAGAAGCCTACTAGAAAAAGACTAACACAGACCATAGGCATTCTGAACTTACTACACAATTCTGAAAAATCTTTTTCCCATCGAGTGGTCAGTAACTGAAGCACATTACGAGAACAAGTGATATCAACTCCATCAGTGAATTTTTTTTAAAAAGCCGAAAATTCGCTGGAAAATAAGCTGCAAGGATTAACACAGGTCCATTGACTTATTAACCCTATTACTGAAAACTGAATTTGGAGACCGAACTTTCTGAAGTGTGCGTTACTGTTATGGAAAGTGTCGTAGCTTCAGTTTATAATTCCTGGCGTGATGTTGCATTTGGTGACTTACAAGTACTTCGTGGCATGTGTATTAGTTAGATTTTAGAAAACCTTGGAGTCAGTGGCAAGTGAACTGACATCCAATCATGAGAAAAACGATATTTCAAGGACTAATTTAGTAAATCAGACTAAAGAGTTCCGAAAATCTGCCTCCGAGGTACGAAAAATGCTATGCTTACTTCAAGTTTAGGATGTACGTAAATATTGTTCGACAGTTATCAAGTGTTATCAATCGGAATTCGATGCACTTCAGAATAGGTGTAGATATGCTGAAGAAGCTTACCTTTCAATGTACAAACAACTTATTGACCTCCCAGGTTTGAAACTTCACTGAGATGATTTGCCTCATAGATCCCTTATTCGCACTTGGAGAACTTCACTCCTTACAAAAACGAGCTGAGAAAGCTGTAGAATTTGAGTTCGAATCTCGAAAATTCAAGGAAAGCTGTGACGAATTAAAAATAAAAGTTCAGGAGCTCAAAAATTACGGTATTTCCTGAAATAAAAGTTTATTTTAGAACGCGAAAATAAACGTTTGCAGAAACGTCTTGACGAGTTGACGGTTTCTTTGGAAACTCAAATACAGCTGAACAGTTCGAAGATAGTGGATGAATATCAAAGGAAGTTGGATTTCAAAGAGCAAGAGTTTGCCATCTTTAAAGTTGAAGCAGAGGAGAAGCTGGGTAGCTTTGAATCTAAAAATATAGCGATTTCCAAAGGTATGTTGATATTGGATACTATCGATCTAATTAGCTCGATACGTGTAACATAACTCAGTTTGAATGCAGTTATCACAAAGCTGCTACTGTACACGCCTTACCGCATGCTTCATCATCCGTAATTTCGCAAGTCGGATCAATAATTTGGGCGCCAGACGGAATTACATTAACTGTGTAGACAGTCTTTACTTGACTTCTGTTAGTCGTTTGAAAGCTTATGGTGAATAGTTATCGTTATGGGTTGCCTCCTACAATACTCGTAAGCTAATCCCACCTTTCTCAGTTTTAGTTAGGTGTGTCATAGATATAATCCTTAAAATTACATTTCAGTACATGCATATTGCAATCATTTAAAAACAGATGTGCAACTGTACGGTACTGACATTGTATCCACTAGCCGCTAAGCTCTTGGGAGAAACAATTTCTCATCGACTCAAATATTTTCCACAATTTATGATGAGCTATTTTGGTACATCTCTCGCATGTTAAAATATTATTCTTTAAATTTTAGCACTGGAAATGGCACAATCTGAATTATTTAGGCTTAAAACAGAAGCGAACGCTACCGAAACCGGCAGGTTAATTTAATACTTTATGTTCAAACACTGTAATTCTTTGATAGGTCTTCCGAACTTGAGTTACTTATGGATGATCTTGAAAAATCAAATGCAGTAAGTAGTAGTCCTTATCTTGTATTCAAATTGTCTTTTGTTAACATTCGTATTGGTTTTCAGTGGGAATTTTCGATATTAGGAAACAATTATCTCGTGGTAAATAGCTTCGTTTCTAAATAGTCTTATTTGTAAGTTTCGGCATTTTAGGGGTGAACCTAGCGTAGCAAGTTATGTGAGAATTTTTAAGCGCAATCGACCATAGTTTACTTCTTACCAGCGATTCCAGTCATCGATGGATTTGTTTTGTGGTAAATAATCTAAATTTATGCTCATATAAGATACAAGAACTGCACTTGTTTCACTGAAATCATTTTTACGTATTCCGTTATGCGGTTTTTTTATGTATTCGTGGTTTGGTATTTTAGTATAAGCAATGTAAATAAATATTTTTCATCATTCCACAAACATAGTCTCAGCAAGGATTTTCCTAATGAATGTAAAAAAGCTCATATAGAATTCTTTCGCTAGGGGAAAGTCCTAGTAATGTGAAAATTTGTTGGAATTATATGAGATACGTATTTTTCTTCTCTTATGCTTCCTCCATTAGATGTAACTAAAATTATGGTTAATATAATAAAAAACTAACTCGCTAGAAAAACGCTAATAAGAAAAATACAATGAATAGCATCAATTTATTACCTAAGTCTTTCAAAGGAACTTGAGCGTTTTTAGTGTGACCATCTATCATTATCCTCACACCTTTTTAAATCTACATCTACCAACTATCAGTTAGAGAAGAATGTATGCATTGTGGATAATGTGTTGTTTGATGTATCCATCTATCTTTTTCTAGTCCAGTGGCTGGTTATCAAAGTTTAACCTGGTGATCTCGACAATTCATGCACTAAAATGTATAGAATCTAATACCACTTCTTTTTTTTTAATGTTAAATTTTACTAATGTTCTATATGGTATAGAATCTGTAAATATATATGTAATCCGATCTTACCCAATAGTTCAAAAATTTAAATGGTCCGGAAGTTTGAGTGTTTACTAAATTATATTTTGTTTAAAATTTAGTAATCCATATTCGGGCTTTTTGTTTTCACAACTCTTCAGAAACTTGCTTCTGCTGAAGCGGAGCTGGCCAAATTACGTGAGGATCATGCGGACATCCCAAAGTTACCCATCGCAGACATTAGTCGACTTCAATGTCGCATTGAAGAGCTTGAATTTGAACTGTCCAGTTATTCTCAACAAGTAAGTCCAACAAGGTTTGTTTTCAGGTTTAAAAATACTAGATATCAATCTATATATATGGGGTGTATTATTTATAAGGTCAGCATTTTCTAAACTTTGCAATTATGGGAAGGCAGCATCGTTGTGATTATTAGCTGTCTGAGGAAAACACGTCACTTCCACCACATCTCAGCACAACCGGCAATGATAGTACCTACAAGAACAAGTGTTCAAGTCAATATCACTCGACTGTGTTATCGCGATTAGCAATTCTGACCATCACGTCAAGGTTGCGGTAGTTGTCGTACTAAAGTTCTGTGTAAACATTGTTACGTACCAAACATTCAAGTTAAGTAAAAATACTGTCAATGATCGAATCAGTGTCAATGCTTTCTATGTGATATGATAAGTAATCTTTTAAAATATGAGTTTCTAGGAGTTTAGGGCTGCATGAACGAGGGATTTGGATTCTTTCATAACAAAGGCCAGTTCGCATACTCTGATTCGTGTTTTAGTAATTTCTTAGCTTAAACCTAATGTTTTCCCTTTTACATATAACTTTCGCTTCCAATAACGGCTTTTACTTTACCATCAACCACTCTTTTGCTTGGTTTTTTGAAAGGATTTTGGACATCTGTTATGACTTTATGTCCGGCTTTTTATCACGCGATTTATCCACCAACCAAAATACGGCTTATCTAGTCTTGGCACTGTGCCAAATCAATGACGTTCGACTGGTATGGGCAGCCCAGCGTCCTTATTGGTCCTATGTCCGCCTAGCCCGTCCACTTGAGTCCAGAACATCAATACCAGCTTCCACTATGCGAATCGAATCATTTATTTCAGACATACTAGGTTTATATATCAATCAAACAGATCACAGCGCACCATAAAATAGGAAATAACATTTGTACATAACAAAGCTAAAAAGTGACTGCGAACGTGGGAGGCAGTAGTCAATAAACTGTGAACATAGCTTAATAACCGTAAATCGTACAATAATAAATTATAGGTCAAAATAAAGCTTATAACAAGGAAAATATAGATATACATAATCTAGTTACCGGATATGTATACCATAAGAATATATAAATAATAAGAGTCCATTATTAAGTCTCAGACGTTACTCGTAATGTAATCATCACTAGGATATAACAAAATTCTTTTCTACGTCTGAGCTTTTTGGGTAAACGCCGTTTGGTGTATTAGAGTAGTTGCCAAGATTACTTTTTTATTTTCGGTTCTAGAAATCGTCATTACTCGATCAGTTGGAATCGCTCAAATCTTTGAAGTCAGCCAACGAAAAGAATCTAGAAAATAGTATTCAAGAGCTGCAAACAACAATTTGTCAGATCAAAGCTTCTCTGGAAGTGGCTAATATTAAACTTGACAATCAATCTGATTACGAAGAAATAAAACGCGAACTATCTCTTTTACGCTCAATTGAATTTCCTGAAAATGTTCAGCCAAATGGATCGGATAATTTTATTCAAGACGAAACATCTAATCGTGCTCCATTGGAAGTACTTCTTTTAAAAAAGAATAAATCATTGGAGAATCAGTTGGCCGAAGCAAACGCTTTACGTGAAAAATTTCAAAGTAGGTGTTATAAGAGTTAGATTTAATTTTTTAGCATTCATTTCATGAGTTAATCAATGTAAATCATGTACAAACTATGGGTTTATATTTTCAGTCTTAAAACACACTTTATATGTAAGAAGTAACACTGCTACTACGGGGCTGTTCTAACCGAAACAAGGCAGTTGTACAGCCTTTACTGAATGATTGAAATTTGTTAAATTCAACCCTGAAGCCACCGTTTTACGATACGTATTTCGTACTTTTTATTATAGTGTATCCATATAAATAGATCGCGATGCTCTTTGGAATCCAATTCTATGATGCTAACATTTCTGTGAAAATTATCTGAAATCACTCCACAAATAATCTATATACTATACTACATGAATGTAGCTGGACTTCTCTTCGGAATTCCAGCTTACCTGACAAATGACTTCAATTGAAATTTTATCCTTTGATTGGATCTTTTAATTGTTTGGCAGATCATCCCGATAAAATGAGATTAAATTGTGGCGGACCAAAAACACAAATACTTAATAAATATAAACGTTATGCAAAAATAAGTGTGTAAAATGAGTTACTGAGGTACGAAAACTATAGACATGTATTTAAGTTATATTAGAGTTGTTTCTAAGTCGCTAATGGTTGTGCGGTCAACTGTTCCAAAAATAAGTTCACAATTATAACAGATAATCGGTTATTCTAAAAAGCGTGATATAATCCAAGATAATGCTACATAGTTGGTCAAGTAATGTTGAAAGTTACAATCCATAAATATATACTACAGGTATATAAGACCGAAAAATGAGTAAGAATGATAAGTGATGTATGAAGCGGTTGTATAATAATCAGTGTAACATCCAAATAGTGTTCGAGGAAATTCAAGGTCGATTTAAACAACAATCTACTGTCCAAAACAATGTATAAACTAAAGGAAATTACAAAAGAATTTGAAAAATGACAAAAATGATTTACAATTGGAGTTTATATTATGTATATCTATAAGCGTAAGATTATTAAGTAATTCACTGATAAATGTTCCTTTTAAGATTAAATCGAATTGTGCAAAATTTGGTCATAATACTCTATTATCTTCTGGCATTTTTTTTATAAATTTACTCAATTTTGATATTTTTCCAATATAAAATTTGTTGTGTATGGTAATTATTTAAATGTAATTAGTAATTACTGAAAAGAAGAAATTATACATAGAGGGTTATACTTTTCCATAAAATATATACAATCCCTGGAGCAGTAGGTCAGATTCGTTTCGGGAGCCCGAGTCAAGTATATTGAGAGGACACTGCTGAAGGGTAACTACGGGCGTTCATTCATTGAATTCACTACCATGTCGATATCTTCAGGTTATGTAGAAAAACCCAAGTTGCAATGTGTTCGCAATTATTTATAATATTTAGTGCCATAACTCTACGCATAAAAGAAAAATTGAAATGGTTAGTTTCTTTCATACTCTATGTCTGCAGTTGTGTTCTTATGCAAACATTGTAAAAGGATACAAAAAAGTATCTGTTCTGATTGATTAGTCACTGAATAGTGACTAATGTAATGTTTGTTTAATCTATAGTGCTGATCGGATTCTGTCGATCAAGTTCCAATTTGTCCACTAGTCTAACTGGGACGACATCGCGTGCACTATGTTTTAATGTAATGTGGTTGGATGTAGTCGATAGGATACATTGAATCTAGGTTTCTCATTAGTTGGGACTCGTCACTATGGTGTACTTGCAATCTGAGAGCATTTGATGCCCCAGTGAGATTCGAACCCGCGTCATCAAACTTCAAAGTCCCAGGTGTCATCACTTAGCGATTTGTATTGTGATTAACTTCCTTCAGCATTGAAATATACTTGATTGCAAAGTCATAGACAAACGAGTATCAAATATCACGAAAATAAAGTCCAGGGATTCCTACCGACTACACTTGACCACCCAACATTAATTTCTAGCTTTGGACCCTAAAGCAGCGATATTGATCGCACAAGGCTTAATAATGTGATTATTGTTTCCGTTGTAACTTGGTCGTGAGATTAGGTACGCGCCTTTGGGGATTGACAAATATCGAATGCTTGGGATTTGTCTAACCCTAAGGCAAATGAATGGGAACTCGAATATTTTTATTTATTTACTTATTTAAGCACATAAACATTGGTACAAGGAGGCACCAAACAGATATGCGCCACGCAAATCTCATTTGATTTGTGTGAGGGCTAGGATACTGCTCGGGTGCCCAAACCGAAGCAGTTGATTTTCTTAGGGGGCCACGTCTGGAGCCTTCGACCTAAAGGTCTGATCCACAATGCAATGGAGCATCATGAGGAGATGCAGTCCCATGGTAGCCGGTGACCAGCGATCGGTTCATATGCCATTTGTCCATTCAGGATACTGGAGCCCATGTGCTGCTCATTTAACTTTCGTAACTAAAATTCATACTGTTACTGTATATTGATATATGTTTTTTATTTGACTTTTCTTTGGGGGATTTCTCTTTATTTTTCCTGATTATCTTACTTTTCGTAAATGTTTCTTCTTTTTGTTGCTTTTTTGGCAACAGTTGAACTTACTCAAGTCCAATCAAATGAAGTTGAAGCCAATCAACGAATTAAAGAGCAAACAGAATTAATAAAATTGTTAGAATCTGATCTTTATCGTTTGCAGACAAATTTGGATGAATCATTAAAGTTAAATGATTCAAGGAACCGATTGGAAGGTCACCATCTTGCAGAAGTTATCGGTGACCAAAAACCAAGTCAATGTAAGTATCAATAGTTGATAATATTGTTGCTAGGAAATTTCGTGTTATTTTGTCTATATTGTCAAAATACTTTCTTTCTATCTATTTGTACTATTTATAATAACACTTATGGATAGTTAGATTGTAAATGCCATAATAATGAATTTATTGTTTCCCACCTACTTATTACTAATCGATCGGTGAGGTAGTAGATCTTTAACGAGTGATACGGTTGAGATGTGTGACCAATCGTTCCGTATTTCAGCACATGGTATTTACTAGTTTAGGAGTCTGTCGAAGAAATCTGATGGCGGCCAAATCAAGACGTGGCATCAATCCATCAATTCATTGGTTGTAGGTATGAATCATGTTGGCAGGTGCGTATTACGTAGTTTGAGTCTTTTTGATTATCGTAACTAATGGTTGAAGACGTGGGATGTGAATCAGGATTGGTTCCGATGAAATAAATGCATTCACTCTTCGTTTCCCTTTAGATCTTCAGTTTTAAATTTATCATTCTTTCTCGAATTATACTGTATGTTATTAGTGTTTCGTACTACTAGTAAGCCCGTTAATACTCTTATGTCTCTGGAATTTGTTGGTGATCTCACCTCGTTTCGTTTAAATGATGTGGCAGCTTGCAGTGATGCATATACATTACAAGTTCTCTGTTGCATATAACTGGCTGACGTACTGCAAATTACATACATATTATGTGAAAGACTATCAATGTTTTTAAGCGTTTAAGTTAAATAGTTATTCTCTCTTTAATATACCAAACAATTGAGAACACGAGTAAACATGAGAGAGTTTATTTAGTTCTACTATCAGTGTTGATACAGTCAGAAAATGAACTGATATATTTATGTAGTAATTTAGTGTCACTTGGAGTATCAGCCATTGAAGCATTGTTTTGTGAAGTTAAATCTCAGTTTGCTCATAGGATCTAAGGATTGATGATGGGAGATATATTTTTACTTTATTTTGCGCAAATCTGAACCGATAGATTTAGTGACTGTTTTTCTCTCTAAACATATAAATATGTTTTTAGTGATTTACTAACTTCGGTAAATTTAAAAATAATTAAGTGGTTTTCCACATTTTAATTGTTTTGCGAAGTATTTTGGATCATTTATCTAACGTTGTGGTGTATTATCCACAAGTCAAGAGCGGGTTGTACTAAAAATATTTATCTTTCGTTCTATCAAGCACTCATTTGTTGCAATATTCTTCCCAAACATAGCTGCTAACCTGACGTAATAGTTAAAATTGCTTATCGCGATAACACATTCGAGTGATATTGACTTGAACACTTGTTCTTGTAGGTATTATCATTCAGAGCAGGTCGGTTAGAGAATGGTTAAACTAAAAGAAGCAAGTTGGGGTTTGAAGGCGAAATCACACTGCCGGTTGTACTGAGGTGTGGTGGAAGTGACGTGTTTTCCTCAGACAGCTAACATTCACAACGATGCTGTCTTCCCATAATTGGAGAGTTTAGAAAATGCTGACCTTAATAATAATACACCCCACCTTAACCTATGGATTTCTATTGCTGGTAGTAAGGCCTTTAAAATATGGAGCTAATATATCAAGAACTACTTACAAAAAGGTCATATGCAATTGAGTTGAAACAGTTGTTCCTTGAGCACTGTTTTAGCGTTCACGGGTCACCAAGGTCGCTAAAAGTTTAGCGTTCCAAGAGAACTTTACAGGTGTTTCAAAAGTATTGTTCCACGATGTAGGTAACTGTGATATAACAGCTTCGCACACATTTATAACAGCAGTACTAAACTGATCAATATGTTCATAGAATCTAATGTATTCTCTGCTTTTTCTTTAATTGTTAATACATTCAGAGACTTTTGATTACAATAATAAATAATTCGCTTTGTATAGTAAAGCTAACTTGGTTAGATGATAAGGTTTTATCGATTGGTTTATTTAGTCTTGGAGTGTTTAGTCCTGTAATATCATTATCATTGCCATTCAAATGTCTAAATACTTGCTTATTGATGACCTTTATAACATATGGTGAATATTGTTTCAGTGTTATTAACATATCTTGATTAATGTGTTGCTCTTTCAATAGCACATTTAATACATTATTTTCTCGCTCTCAGTTCATTACACATTGTAGACCATCACATTTAACTATACCAAAATTTGACGGTATATTATATTGTACAACTAAAATTAGTCGTCTTTATTGTACATTAGTTAATGTACGTTTTCTTTTCGATCACTCACTACACACTTTTTGATATGATTCTTTTGTCAATGAAAAACTTAAAACGTTTTCCATTATTGGCTAGGAGTTTAAATTATTTACATTTGACTTCAAAAACTACACTCATCTTATTCTCCTTTATTTCATAATGTTTTTAGACAACAATCATCAAAGTGCTTATGTTCAAAGTTCATTTCGAACAGTTGGTTTTTTTAAAACACTTTAATTTACCAGTTACATATATGACTCCATGTAGTAGATTGTAAAGAGCGTCGAGATTTAGTTCTTGGTTCCTTAATCCATTTCAAGACCTAACAGTTAAATATACAAATCATTAGACTACAGCATTACATTAAAGTACTTGCGATAACTGTTCTTAATAACTACTGTTTGTCAATTTTATTACTTTCAATTTCAATATAAAGATTAATGGCTAACTTAGAACCTGATAGTCTCATGTTCATCTTGAGACTTTATTCTTTTTAAATCGAGTTTGTTTAAATTGAATAGTGGGATTTTTAAAAAAAATATTAGGCTGACATTATTCAGAATCAGTCACAATAACGCAAATCCGTCATTCTTTTTTGGTTTACCTTAAATTTCTTGATAAGCCCCTTTTCATTGTCTTTTCGAACTAGATTCTCAATGTTCACTCCTCATTATAATGGCTTTATTATTATTATTAGATATTGGTACAAGGAGGCATCAGATATATATGCGCCACGCAAATCCTATTTGATATGTGTGTGGGCTGTGATACTCCCCGAGTACCCAGACCGAAGCAATTGGTTTTTTTAGAGGGCCACACCCGGAGCATTCGACCTAAAGGTCTGATCCACAAGGTAGTGGAGCAACGTAGGGAGATGCAGTCCCATGGTAGCCGGTGACCAACGATTGGTTCATACCCCATTTGTTCCTTCAGGATACTGGAGCCAGCCCATGTGCACCATTGGTTTGGAATCAGGATTAACCAACTCCTCTAGGTGGACTCTCCATGTTCACCAACCCGGTCAAAGCGCCGGACATTCGCTTTTCATCTTCTCATTTTCGTCAACAACAGTAATGCCACGAGAATGCAGTGAGTAGAGCTTCCCTGTCAGAGACTATATACGCGTGGCCATGTGAGAGCATTTCGAGAGGGAGAGCTGACTCTCCCCACTCCTGGCCGTACCAGGGCATTCGGGGGCTTATCATGACTACTACATTAATTTAGAATCCTTTGCTATTCCTCTTATTCACTTCATTTCACTGTGTTAATGTGGTATAACAAATCCAGTCAGTACACAATGTACCAGACTCTCTGAGTGGTTTATGACTAATTGAATTTAATTTTACATAAAATGTGATGTATGTGTAAAATCTGGACGTATATTTTAACGATGTTAGTGTTTATGGTTCATTTCGAAGTGTCATTGACGTTTATTAAACTTTGTCATTTATATATAACCCATGTTATTTCGATTTTTTTTTAATTGTCCCAATTGATTGCAATTATACACACGCATTTGTAGACAATCAATCATTATTGAACATCGTACAAAATCAACGTGATCGATTTCGAACACGAGCTGAAGAATTAGAACAGGTTAGTCAATGAAAACAGTTACCTTTTTTCTCTCAGGTGATTTACTTTTTTATGTTAGTTTGTTTTACAATAGAAGTCATTCTATAGTACACGTTCATATAAAATTTGAATGAATTATACCAAAAAGGTGCATTTTTGTAGCTAGAATCCTGAAGATGTTGAAAATCACTAACTAATATTACTAACCGTGTTATAACTTGTGGTTTTGTACCCTTGGTTCTTTGTTTTTCACCCCGTTGTCAATTGTTACAACGCTTGGTTTTACTTCGTCTAACGGTTATAACGATTGGTTTTTCACGTTTACACCTATGGGACGTTAGTTTGCCTTAAACGATTATCTACACCAGATTCCCTCCCAGTGTCTATTCTACAGGACTTCAACACAACTCAGATCAAGAACACGTAATTAGCCTGACTACAACGTAAATATATTTCTACACCAAAACCCGACACTATCCAACAACAATGAACAATCAATAATAAGTAATAATTATAAGGATAGGGGAATATATAACTCATCTAACATCTGTCAGACTATCTACATGTCTGACTAAGCAGACAACCAATCATTATCATTCTCACCCACACATCAGACCCTAAATAAAAATAATCATTTTGAACCAAGAAAAAGTTACATATGGAGCAACCGTATGTTCTTTATCTAGTGTATATCATTGTATTAATTTCTTCTTTCACTATGCTTTCCTATTTTTCCATTATTGAAATTTGTCATAATACAACTTCATATACTTTTCTTCTCTGTTGCTGTTAGATATTTCTCATTAATATCCTCTTGATGGACTTTTAATTACCCTAATGCACACATACATTTTAAATTAAATAAAACATCTGAAAATGTTAATATGTCATGAACTTAATCAATCAGTCAGTCAATAAGCAAGTTAGAACTTGGCACAATTTTCTGCATTACGTCACCATATCGCGATGAGATTTTCATGATGTATAACACTGTAGTATCCGTGATAGTGTATAAGATATGAAAAGGACTGACATCAGTGTCAACGACCGTTAAAAATCCAAAAACGTACTATGAAAATCCTTTTATCCGAGTTCGGGACTCCTCACTAGTGTACACCTATACATAATCGATAATATATTACGCCTGTTATCCGTCATGGGGGAGCATAGGCCGCTCATTAACATTCTCCATCCAACTCTGTCCTGGATAATCTTTTCCATTTACTATTCATCCTTTTGATGTCTGTTTCCAATTCTCGGCACAGTGTTTTTGGCCTTCCTCTTTTCTGTTTACCATAAGGACTCCTAGTTAGCGCTTGCCTCGTGATACCGTTTAGTGATTTCTGTAATGTATGTCCTATCCACTTCCAACGTCTTTTCCTTATTTCTTCAGCTGGAAGCTGGTTTGTTCTCTGTCATAGTAGGTTGTTGTTGTTGGTATCCGGCCAACGGACATTGAGTACATACATACAAACATACATAATCGAACCTGATACTAACTATTAATGTAAGCATCATACTTTCAGTAAGATTCGAAGATTTTTGGTTTGAATAGTCAGTACTGGTTATGAAAATTATCGCAGTAATAGTCGGAGTATTAGAAAACGTAGAAAATATATTTGATAGCGAATATAATGAATTCAATTGTTACTACGATAGTCACATATACATAACCTTTCGTTATGTAATCTCTCCTGTGTAGTATTAAATTTCTAAACATTTTCTCCAACACCAAATATCTGTGAAGCAAAATGGGCGGTAATTTTTAGACCAACTGTTTTTAATTCTTATTTAGGGAAAACGGGTATGATTGATAACTTTCATCAGTTATTACAACCAATGGCTCTAGATGTTGGATGCCATGGCTCAGCTGCATTCATTATTTAGCTTCCCTTAAATCTTGAGTTTTAAAATTACCATATACCCTCATATTATTTATGCTTGATTCTTTCTACTATCATTGAGATTGTAGCTACTTCCACTACTCTAACGTTTGTTTTGATAATCTTATCTGACAGTGCTAATATAATGTAGTAACTTGAATCGATGCATATATTTCCCAGATTCTACGTTGTTTGTAATTGAAATAGCATAATTGGAATTCTTTCATGAACTTGAAATTTGTTATTTTCAATCTAACTTACTCTTCAATTAACCTGACTTGTATGATATTTTGACTATAAGATAGCAGAAAAGGAGTGGAATTGATATTTAATAATAAATAGTCGTAACGGAAAAATCTCTTGGATTTAATTTGTTCTACAGATATTCTACTGGAATTGTAAACGCGATACTGGCGATCTCAGCGTATGTGAAAGCTATAGTAAGAACAAGGACAACTTGACTTTAAACCTTATCTGTTTATATCAACCAGTATTGCGTGTCTTATCGAAGTGAATAAAAATTATGAGTCACACTAATATAACAGGATAATAATATCGTTCAATCGGCAGGTTACATGTAATAGGGATAGTCTACAGTCACCACAGACCAGATTGACGTGATGAGCATTTAAGCAACAATTTGATTAGTTAATTATGGACATAACTAACAATCTCAGCCATAAATATTAAATTAGAATTTTGTTTTTAATTTATATTCTGCCTACTACTTACAACGACAAAATAAAGATTAAATACATTTCTATTAGCACTCTTAGCCCCACTAGTTACATAATCTTAGCAATCAATTATTATGTGGCAAATTAGAAACTAGCCCGTTTCAATCATTTTTTCATTTATTCCAAAGCATCATATCATAAAGAAATGAATTTCGAACAGCTTTTATTTCATTTGGGTCAATTACAAAAGGTTCCTCCATACAGATGTAATTGCACAACTTTAAGGCACTATATTATTCGTGTATTAAACATGCAGTTACTTCACTGTGTTGTCAACAGATTGAAATAAAGCATTGAATATCTTTCAATTACGTAATACAAATTTTATTTTAATTAATTTCTTTAACAGAATGAAATAAATTTACGCCAACAGTTGGTATCACTTCAACGTGAAGTTGAATCAGTACGAGCTGATAACGTTAAATTGTACGAGAAAATACGTTTCTTACACTCATATGGTAGTCCTGTAATACAAAATCGACAAAATAATTTATCTAATCAGTATTCTTCATCATCGGTGACAACATCATCGTCACCATCACCTTGTCAAAATCATGAGTCAAATGATGCAACTATTATTAAATATTCACATGTTTATGAAGCTCAGTTAAATCCTTTCAATCAATTTAGTCGATATGAGAAACAACGAGTGTATAAAAAGTTACAACCATATGAAAAACTGATGTTACATTTGGTATGTTGGTTTTTTTGTCTTTCTTTTATAGTTTACATTATGGACCTGGTCTTAGTTTGTAGACAATCATTAAAAAAAGAGAAATCACTGGACAGTAGTTGTTTTATCCTAGTAGAGGGACTCTAGCAGTGCTTACTTGTCAAGGATCGAAAACCATGACTTTCAGGTCCACAGTGAATATTATTCAGCGATATCCATTTTTCAGTGGCATTTCAACTGAAATCAGTCTGTGATAAATACAACCTACGAATGAATAAATATTTTTTTTAATGTGATGTATATATATTTTAAGCACTTTTTGAACAGTATTTGTTTACAATGTTTCTGTTATTCCTTTTTTGTTGTTGTTTTTTCCAATAGGGACGTTTTGTTAGTTCTGATCGTAGACTTCGCTTGGGTGTATTTTTGTATGCAATATTTTTACATTTATTCATATTTATTGCATTGTATAAAGCAGCTCATTTCCAGCATAGTGCTTTAGAAACTGAAGCTAATTGTCATTCTCGGTAAGTATTTCTTAATAAGTTGTCAAACCGGAATGCCATATCCTTTATACTGGTGTTTATTTTGCATGCTCACATTAAATAACACTTAAGACTGTTGTAAATAAACACTTAGGCACCAAATATCTATTTTAAACAAGTTTATTACTCATTAATAGTGCGTGTACCCTCGAACTCCTGATCTTGTGGAAAAATCAATGAGATATTCATAAGGCTCAACTCTAATTATACAGTTATATGTATATTCATACGTGAACAGTTATAAACCAATCAAATAAGTATTTATTGAGTCAATAATAACGATTAAACAGGATTGTATAACTAACCATAGCCAGTAAAGGATAATAATTTATATTAAGACGATAGGTCTGGTAGCAGTGGTAAGAATAATAAAAGCTTAAATAAGTGTTTTAACATCGGAAGTAGATTAACCTTTGTAAAATAAACATTGAAATAGCATTCATTAAAAGTCACTAAGATAGCGTAATCAAAGTATGCAAATAGTTTCCATAAATGTATGGGCAGAAGAGTGTGTAGAAAGAAGCAAAAGTGAGTGTTAAATAATTGTCACAATTGTCTATTAAATGTTATCAGATCATATAAGTGAAGGAGATGTTAAAAAGTTCTTCTAAACATTCAGACTAGGATTGTAGGCGCAAATGCCTATAACCTCTACTACATGTAGTAGACGAGGTCAAACCGTGTTGGGAAACTGCAAAGATATACAGATTTCCCTGAATGATTAGTTTCTATTTACCACTTGACCATTGTTGACCAAGTGTGTTAACTCAGAACTACGTATTGTCTTTGACCCCTTACAAACGATACAGGGAGTTGTTCACTCATCTGCTGGTTAAATTACCCAATGGCACACCTCATACATCCTTCTACAAATTAGTAGCTAAATCGGTAGATACACATTAAAGAGGCAGATCTCCCTCTCGAAATGCTCTCTCATGGCCACGCGTATATAGTCTCTGCAAACGAAGTCCTACTCACTGCATTCTCGCAGCATTACTGTTGCTGACGAAATTGAGAGGATGAAAAGCGAATGTCCGGCGCTTTAACTGGGTTGGTAGACACGATGAGTCCACCTAGGGGAGTTGGGAAACCCTGATTTCAAACCAATGGTGCACATGGGCTCCAGTATCCTGAATGAGCAGATGGCGTATGAACCAACCGTTGGTCGCCGGTTACCATGGGACTGCATATCCTTACGTTGCTCCACTATCTTGTGGATCAGACCTTAAGGTCGAAGGCTTTGCGTGTGGCCCCCTAGGAAAACCGATTGCTTCTGTTTGGGCACCCGGGGAGTATCACAGCCTACACACAAATCAAATGAGATTTGCGTGGCGCATATATATCTGATGCCCCCTTGTACCAATATATATGTGTTAAATTAAATAATATTGCTTATTGGTAAATAGTATTTTATTGCAGAATATCTTACTCATATTTCGCTGACCATTTTATTATTTTTATCCGTTCGGTCATTTTATCCACTGTCTGTACAAATTATGGACCGTTTTTATGGTGGTTTATTCACCTTCAGGTTTTTAGCCTGGACTCGTTATTATCTTCTGTAGAATGATAGAGACTTACGGAAGCTAAGACAGTTTTCTAACTTTCACTGACCTGGGGTCCTTTGCTCAAACGAATCTGATACACTCCCCCATAGTAAGTAACACTAAACTGCTAACGCCACATTCCTGTAAAACCCTTAATTTTAGTAAAAAGTTTATGAAAAATGCTCACAGCTTACTATTCGATTGTTGTCGATTTTTTCTCGTTTATTTGAGCTAATTGAAGTAGAAGAATATTTTTAAGATGGTGGAGAAGATTTGTAGCTTAGGTGGATGATTTTGATGAAGTATTGTTCTTTGAACTGGATGATTTAGTCATGAAGCTGTCATCATTCTTCTGAAAGACGATGAAAGCTCCACGACTAAACCATCCAGTTCAGAGAACAAAACCCCATTATAAAAAGAATATTTTTCGTATAATTGTTCTGTAAAATAGCTCTCTCTCTCTCTCTCTCTCTCTCTATATATATATATATATATATATATATATATATATATATATATATATATATATATATATATATATATATATATATATATATGTTGTTGTTGTTTTCCATGACTATTTTTAGCTTTGAAAAACATATGCAAGAAGTCCATAATCAAGGTGGTGGGAATCATTAACACACAACATACTTCAATTATTACTTTATTTTCTTTTTTATTACCTTCAAGTGTAACCCTATTCTGTGAATATAAAGTCAACATAAACAATGTGATTATATTTATTATATGATACTGAGTTCCTGTTGTATGTGTATGTTTTTTTTAAAAATGAAAAATGTCCACTTGTTTTGTGTGTGCGTGTGTATATTGGAGGGGATTAGGGGGGGGCTATACAAAGAAAATTTAATTTTAGAAAATTTATTTTGCATTAGAATTGTACTTTATTTGATAGAAATTTTTTTGTTAAAAATAAAACTGACTTACACTTGAATTTTTATTTCTGGGTATACAAGATTCTTTTTTAAAGGGAAAATAACAAAACTCAATTGGCTTTTATTATATTGTTAAAAGTAAATGATTTAAAAAGAAAATAGATTTATAGTAGTCATATTGGAAACTTGGTCGATAGCAGTCGATCTGTACTAAGAAGGACTTGACACACATGGCATTGATCACCACCCAGTGATCAATCAATTGTGAATAGATCTCAGTTTTAAAGGGGGTCGGTCGCAGCCCGGATAGCTCAGTGGTAACGTCTCTGATTGTGAAGCTGGGTGTCACAGGATCGAATCTGTCAGGGAGCACCAGTTCCCTCAAGATCACAGGTACACCTTGCTGACGAGTGCCAAGTAGCACGAAACCCGGGTCCAGGGTTTCCTGTTGACTACCTCCAATCATCATCTAGTCTCAACATAGTGCACGCAGTGTCGAGTCACCTAGACTAGTGGTCACATTGCAACTTGGTCGATAGTATTTGGTCTGCACTAAGAAGGACTTGACACTGATCAAAACCCAGTGATCAATCAATTGTGATAGATTTATAGTGTTACCTTGTCAGGCGGCCTTCTTAAATGTTTGTGCTACCTGTTCCTACCATCTGGATATTTCCACAAATTATTTTTCCGCTTGTTTGTTTTAACACATCATTATGTCTATTAATCGCATAACCTATTCAGGTGCGTTTGTGAAAAGTTCACGACATTTCGCTGTACAAGTTACAAAAAAGCTCAATCACAGATATCATGCTGGTAATATGCGTCTGAAAAAGTATACACTAATCAGATGTCAATTCCTGAACTGCTAATATATAACTGGCAACCACCCAGTATTTATCGTAAGGATCGATCATGAAATAAGAAATGCAAACATGTTGAGATACTTTGTACTGAGAATTTTATATTGTACGAAGATTATAATATTGAATAAAGCCAATAATAATGACTTTTGCATCTTAAGAAACTAATCAGAGACAACCCAACAATCTACTTGAATTTACAAATGTTGAAATAGTTAATTTTTATTATTATTCCTAAATGTTCTTTATGGTACTAATTGGGGATCATGATCGAAATCCAATAAAAATAAAACATGGTGTCACCATTTATATCTAATTATCAATCTTCATGTTTATACTAGTTCAGTAAGTCACAATTATATGGCTTGTTTGAATGAATATAATTTATATAAAGTAAATAATTGACCAAATAGTAATTTAGCTATTTGTGATGGCTTAATTTATAAAATTACGTCAATTTTGTAGAATTCAAACAGGAATTCGAACTCAAGGTTTGTGAACTAGAGGTAGAATAATTTGAAACTAGCGACATGTATCTCAAAGTACTAGTACTCTTAGAAAGACGAAATAAATATTATGAATAACACAACTAATACTATTGATAGTAATAATAATAACGGATGAGAATTTAATCAAAATTATTATGGGAGTGATATACTGACATCTGTTTTTCTTGAGCACATAAGTTCGATTTAAGTCTCTATTGACATCTGCTGTCGGATATTTTTTGACTGTAGTCTCAGGATTTTTGGAACGTGTTTGAAGATACTGGAATAAACTATTCTCTCTCAGTGTATGTGCTCCAACGTACACTTATAAATTGATGTGCTAGGAAATAGTAAGGAAAGGAAACTTATCGATTTAAGTTCATCTCATACAAGGTAATAAGTCTTCTCGCTGAATGAATAATCTTTAGTGCATCGTTTATTCTGAGTTTGATTAATACAATAATTTTAACCCTTTCGAAGTCAGGTCATAGTTAATAAACTGTATTTTTCAAGGGTTCGTTCTGTCTCAGCGTAATTATCCATGCATTTCTTTGGATGTTTGTCATATGATATTGCAAATGGTCAGACGTATACATAAAGAGCGGCCTGCTTGAGCATCTGGGCTACCTGTTCCTGCCATCTAGATATTTCAACAAGTTATTTATTTTTGTTTGTTTTAATATATCATTATGTTTATTAATCTCATAACCTAATCTGCTGCGTTTCTGAAAAGTGTACAACCTTTCGTTGTCAAAGTTACAAAAATACTCAATAAGAGACAATGTGGTTGCTGGCAATATAAAACGAAAAGAATGTACATTATTCAGGTGCTCATTTACTGAACTGCTAACATCTAACAGGAGATCACTCAATATTTATCGCCAAGACCGACCAAGAAGAAAGAAACGGAAACTTGTTGAAATACTTTGCGCTGAGAATTCTATATTGTACCAAAAATATAATATTGAATAAAGCTGATGATAATGATAATAATAATATTTTCCTCGTGTTTTCAATTATCACTCATAGTGTGGGTACTTTTCACTGTTTCTCAACCTTAAGCCACTAGAAAGACCAGGTTTCCAAGTTCTTAATAACAAGTGGTTGTTATTACGTGTACAGATAACCGGAATAACATGTATTGGAACTCATTTTTGTAATGATACCTACTATCAATCGACTGGTTATTCCCACTAGTTCCCACTTTTAGTTTGCTTATCCAATTTTTACCCAAAAGCATGTTTAGTACTATATATACAGAGTTGTTTCACTACAAATTACACTTCCTTAATATCAAGCTTCTTCCATCGCTTGGTGGATTGTTGTTGAAGTGATGTATATCAGTTGTCCAACCTATCAAGTTCGTATAGATCCAGTTTCGTATCAGAATATAACAATCTTTCGCAATCAAGAATAAGTGTAAGACAAAACTTAAATATTTTAAATTAATCATTATATGGCCAAGTGAATTAAAAAGATCATGAAGAATATATTTCACTAAACAATACGAATTGGCTATTACTCGTAGTAGTTGATATCATATTGAGCAGTATAAAAATGATACCTAGCTAATGGGTAGAAGAAACCCTTATTTGGCCAAAAGATATTATTTTCTATACGCTGTTAAAATGTGAAGACGGTTAGATAATTTATACTGATTGATCTGACAACCGAACAAAGTATTCAGTAGAATTACTTAGACCATGTGGCAGTATTAATTAAAATATGAAGTAGAGGAACTTCTATCACCAACAGGTCAGAATAATAATAGTTTAATCACTTATTATCAGCTATCAATAATCCAGTCAAACATGTAAATAGCGTGATTTTGTTTTCTATACAAAAACAAAATGAATTCATTATATTCAAGGCTTAATCAACACATTTGCAACCGGGAACAAATTAATATGTGTATCAACATCTTTCTAAAAAAGTATGCCTAAAATACTGTAAGTTATTCGTTCCTTCTTTAGTTATTTAAAAGTCTAATCGCTAGGCTCTCAATGAGTAGTGGATATCTGTAGAGTATTCAAGACAATGAGTTAACAACTAACGCTAATTTTGCTTCGTTTTTTAAAGGCGACTGCTATCAAATCGTTCTAGCCTAGGCTATTTATACGAAAGGAAAATCACGTATTTGTGTTCTATGTTAATTCTTGGTTCCGTTTTTGGTATTCAGTTTAATATTAATAACTAGAGGCTGTCAAACGTTAGTTTATTATAAACGGTCTTAATGTAATTTTAATTTGTTTACGGTTAATGCAAAGCTTTAGAATAGAAAGAATTTATTTTATTTGGTAAATCTTGGTATTTACATTCTTTTTAGATCTATCCATTGATAAAGCTGTACGAGATAGAAGCAATTATTTACTGTATTTCAAATGTACAATGCTAAAATGGTAAATATGTATATACGATGGAAAGTAGGATTTAATTGTTCTGTTTACTTTGAGGAAGTTGAAAACCTCTGGCAACTAAATAGATTTCTGATGATTCTTTTCGACTAGCTTCCGGTTTAATAAAACGCGTAAATGAAGAACACTTTGAATTTAATGTATAAAACTGTGAAACTGTTTGTTTAAATTCTTCAGCTTCCGCACTTTCAAATAATTTAATCACGAAACTGGCCCCTTCTTTTGAAACACTGATTGCTACCTAGAAATAAAAGTTTCCGAACAAGAGATCAACATATTTTTTGGATATCTTAAATATGTATCTTAGTGACAGTTTTTTTGCAATTACAAATTACGACACATTTAAGTACAATAGACGAATCAATTTCCAAACCAGTAGGGACAGTAGTAAACACTAAACTATCAAATAAGTGACGTGTTTTTCATTCTGGGGAATCATAAAAATTTACAACTACGTATAATCTTCAGTCTGTAAGTAGTTATTAATGGAAATTCGTACAAAAAACCGGACCATTTCAGTTAGTTGAGATGCACTAAGTTAATGCAAAACAACTAGTAGGGAGTTGAACTTTTTCTGTACTACTCGAGTAACATTTATACTATATCAAAACCTAAGGGAAGATCCATTATATACTAGCTCACCACCTTATTTTATGCAGTAATATTAGACATTTAAACTGATTTAGCTATGTTTAGCATTGCAGGCGAGAATAGTTGCTTCATCACTTCAATAACAGAGAAATAAAACTACTGGGTGTAATGCAGTTTCAAGCAACAAGTTATACAGTCACCATAGCCTGTTATTCAGATTGTAATAACAAATGGGTCATTAGTCAAACAACAATACACTAAGATTGGAACAAAGTTCAAACTCGATGTCAGTTATGGACTAAAAATAACTCAACTTTCCTATTCTAGATCGTTATACACACATAACCTTAGGTTCATACTAGTTGTATGAACGCCGACAGTGACGTGATATGCGAAATCCCTTTATTTATAAATAAAAGCCGAAAATACCCATATTAATCATTGGTACCATCTTGATGTTAGTCTGACTGTAAAATGTTGAGTTTACAACGCGTTGGTGAGAGATTTTTACCTTATGATTGTGAAATCTAGTCCCTTGATGTTGAGTTTATTCTGTGACTTTACGTTCGATAACCTTTATCTCCGAAGCATTGGTGACGAAGCTATATTACTAATACTGAGGCTTGGGTATGTATGTTCGAGCACTTTGATTATCATCATTCAATTAGTGTTGCCATCGTGACACACTGGCACCAGTGGGGTTGACATGTTCTATAAATGTCACCCCACAGGCTTGCACACGTCATTAATTGCCTATGCTATTCTTCATTTTTAGGTCGAGCCCTGATTCCATCCTTTACTTCTCCACGATGTTATCTGTTTTTAATTTATATGACATATTCTATTTTTGGTTTCTGGATGTACTAAATTTTATATGTTAAATAAAATAAATAAATTATTACATAACACAACAATAATAAATTACATTCTGATAAACTAACTTACTCGTAAAATATTATACGCTAATGTCATCATAGCTGGTATATCGATTTCACGCATTCCTGACACATTTGGAGCTATGTCACTGAGAACAATATCAACACCCGGCAGTGATTTCTGTCTCTCGGATTGTAACGGTTTACCGCCACTATCATTATTGTTAAAATGATTGGAAATTGATTGATTAATTAAATTTATACATTCAGACCAATTATTTAAATCAACACCACAATATGTAATAACACCAGGTAATGGTGCAAAGTTTAACAAATCAAGACCAATTATTAAACCTTTATTTTGATTATTTGAAGCATTGAAATGATTATTATTACAATTGGTTAAAGATGAAGCTACTTGACACCATGATCCTGGTGCAGCACCACAATCAACAACAATATCACCAGGTTTAAAAATTCCACCGGAAATTTTATCATTTAATTGTAATAATTTGAATGCGCTACGACATCTATAACTTTCAAGATGAGCACGTTTTACGTAAGGATCTGAACGTTGACGTGCAATCCATCTCTATTCGAAATAAAGGATATATGTATAGAGAGAGATATATATTCGAAAAAGGTAACTAAATTCATTAGAAACATATTTACATCTTATTTTCTATGATAATTCCTAGTAAATGTATAGCAATGGCATCTATGGGATATGCGTTTTGATTAATAATGTATACTTCAATCCTGGAATTAAAATGAGTGATCTTATTTAAGTAATTAAAATGTGAATGTGGTGTACAATATAAATCCCCTTATACAACACATTCATGTTCAATGAACTCAGTAACTGAATGGAATTGTGCCTGCTGCAATATCCAAAGGATCCTGAGTTCTATCAACATGTAGGATATGGTTCTGAAGCACATTCCATTCTCGATAATTGAATGTAACGAGCATATCTTGTCATAAATTGATATCAAAACTGTCAAAAATAACTAAATAGCTCAAAAAAAAGTGATAAGAAATATTGAACCAATATTCATCTCACAGGATCTGTACCAACTTTTTAATTACAAGTATCTTCAATGTATTCAGACCATTTTCATGTAGTGTAAATAAAAAAAATACGATTTTGTTTGATACTATCCAACGATACTATTGAGTTATAAATAAGAACTTTCGTTTAATCACTAGATAGAATGATAAAAACATTCCCGGTAGAGATCATTAACACATACATAAAACTAATTTACAATAAACTAACTTGAGAGCTCCCATCATTTGAACGAATACTAATGATTAAACAAGATAATGCTTGATTCGTTAAGCAATATGGCAAACTCCTTGAATTCAACCAATAGAGTGAGTGCTAAATAAACAAATACAAGCATGGTAGATTAGTGTTCTATTATAAATGATAGATGGCTTGTGAAGATTGTTGAATTTTATAGTTTACATTACGCGTTGACCTTAGTTACAGAACCATTGTAAACCAAAGAAAAATGGATAGTTCCTACATCCTAGTTTGAAACTACTCCGCAGTGCATAACCACAAACCACTCGCGGACGAACCTACAACCTTCAGGTCTCGCAACGAAATGTATTTCCCACGGTTCTAATGGAAGCCATGACAGGCAGATTGCAACTATAACGGGTATTTGAGAGTTACACATTAATAGCAAATGGAAAATGGTTACGCAATGTCGCGAACTGACTGAAGTCATACACGTAAACCAATGAGTGTCGATTCAGTGATCTAAGGGTGCTCCTAAATGCCCTGGTACAGCCGAGAGTGGAGAAAGTCAGTTCTCCCTTTCGAAATGCTCTCACATGGCCACGCGTATATAGACTCTGCCAGGGAAGTCCTACTCACAGCATTCTCATAGCATTACTGTTGTTGACGAAATTCAGGGGATGAAAAGCGAATGTCCGGCGCTTTAACTGGGTTGGTGGACATGATGGGTCCACCTAAGGGAGTTGGGAAACCCTGATTCCAAACCAATGGTGCACATGAGCTCCAGGATCCTTAGGAAACAAATGGCGTATGAACCTATCGTCGGTCACTGGCTACCAGAGGACTGCGTCTCCTGACGTTGCTCAACTACCTTGTGGATTATACCTTTAGGTCGAAGGCTCCGGGTGTGGCCTCCTAAGAAAACCACCTGATCCGGTCTAGTCTCCCGGGCATTATCAGAGCCCAAGCAAAAATCAAGTGACTTGGGTAGCGCATATGTATTCGGTACCCATTTGTACCAATATTTATGTGTTTAAATAAATAAATAAAATAAGATCTAACGGTTAGGTGTTTGGCATGAGAGTCCCTGGTGAGGTTGTAAATGCAGATTGCTGAGGAGTTTTATAATAAAAGGAAACAGCTGTTCAGTGCTTCCGGATTTTCGTCAGTTCTGTAACTAAGATCAGTTCGTCAAGCAAACTGTGTGATTTCTTATAATTTGATTTCGATAAATAAGCCATAAACGATCAATTTCGTTATGAAAATTGAATTTATAACAACAGGTGTAAGTCATGTACCTGCGCAAAGTACAACACTTACGCTATGATAGGGGGTGTCCGAGATCTGAGACTGATACACAAATTGCTGTGCGCTAACCCCCCAAAATTTGACTACTTAAGAGAGAAGACAACAATGAAAAAGAAAGTCTATTGGGCCGTTGAACAACATGCATAAATACTTATTTATATAAACATATTTCGACCCCCTAAAAATGAATTAATCTCTTAGTCAATGATATGCATTTGTCATTCAAGGCATTTTTGATTGTCATCGAGTGATGATGGTTATTTGTACTTTTTGAAATCTGAATAATATTTAACACTATTTACAATTGCTACTAACATTTTTGACTCTTTCAAGGAATGTGTTTTTTTAAAAAAAGGCACAAAAGCTTTGTCCATGTTGAATATACATGGAGATCGTCCAAACTTATACTCAATTAGATGAACTTTTGTCGCTCTTGTTAAATTTTCCTAGTGGAAAGCCATTAGTTGTTAACAAACTAAGCTAAGTGTAAATCCTATATAGAGTATCCTGTCCAGTAACTAATTTGTCTGACAGTGATACATTTTTAAGTGGAAAGAATACACATAGAATCAATATTTTCGGATAATAACTATCATTTCTATTTCATAACTTTTAATAGATGATAAATCAACTTTAATGAATTTTTGGTTATTTATTATCATTATTATTACAAAAGGCCCTGGGTCCGAATCCCGCGAGCGGGATCGTGGATGCGCACTGCTGAGGAGTCCCACAATAGGACGAACGGCCGTTCAGTGCTTCCAGGTTTCCAAGGGTGGTCTAACATCAATCAGTTCATGATGTCAATTAAAAACTCAACAACCCCTATTTATTATCAGCCTGATAATCCCTTTAATTTGATTTATATGATGAATATGACATTTATCTTAGTTTTTTGCACCAACAACTCGATCAGATCTGGTTCCATATTTGGGCTATCCATTTGTATATGGAATCACAAACATAAATTAAGTGAATTAAATCGTTTTAGTAGAAACAAATCCGAATATTTCCTCAATTTATTGCAGCTGAACAACTACATTTCAATAGATTGTTGTGACAATCAATGAAATATATTTATCATACACTATAGAGACAATTAATTTGAATGTCACATTAGACTTTAAGAACATGTGAAATTTCAGAGTATCAGTGACTTATAATTCTTTAGAGATTGTCAAAACGTAAAAGCTTTGTTTGTTTTATCTTTTGAAAATGCTAACATCACCAAATATTCATGTGTAAATAGTTTCGACCTTATAGACACTGAATCAAAAATAATTCGATTATTTCGAGGAGACCTGAATAAGACATAGATGTATTAGAGCTTAGAAAGATTTTTACTTAACGATACTTTATTCCGTACTTAAATCACTAAACCAACTATCAATAGATGACAAATAATCTTACCAAGATGTAAAGAATGATTATGTTCTCATTTATGACTAACTACACTGGAGTGGATCGACAGTAGTTCCTTTGAGAAGCTATAATCTGTTGAACCAATTGGCCTGGAAAAGAACTATATACATACAGAGAATAATGAACAATCGTGACTCTGTCTTTCAAAATCGATTGAATTTTAGGGTGGTGATAACTAGGTTTCGATTCACTAATTGAGTAATACCGCAGTATACGCAATAATTAATGGTCTTGGGTTAGATTTTGTGCGCAATGCTAAAGTTTCTCCTATAGTAGGAAGACACAAAGTGACCAAAGATGCTTGAAATCAATTGTTCTCTAGCTGATATCCGTTTGTGATCAAATAATTATTTTAAAAAAACTATTGTTTTAATTAAATTTATACTACTTTATTCATACACACACACATAAAGTGTCATCTTCACTGTTATTTTAAGTAATACCTGCGGTGTATCCTTTGATCATTAGACAACGGTCGCTAAATAATATCACCAAACAATGAAGGTTCATAAATCTAGAAAAGTATGGGCTCTTTAGAATCTAAAGATATAGATTGAGCAATGAAAACAATTAACTAAACAAACATTAACAGAAAACAACACCTCATACAATTATCTATAGGGTTAAATCATCATCATCATCATTAAAATGAAATCAAGAAACTAAGACATCACTAAGATAGTATATTTCATTATATTAATTAGATAATAAAATATAGATATATACAAAATATCACACTTATCAATAATGTACTATTTAGATAGTTTTATTGTATTCAAAAGATTATGTGTTTCATACAACAAATGTATAGTCTATATAAAATTCATTACTTTTACCAATAAAATAAGATGTTATTGGTGCAAAATTGGATATATCCCAATGAAAAGAATAAGCATATTGACGGAATACTAAAATGATAAACATTAAAACAACTAAATACAATAAAAGTATTTTGATTAAATGAATCATTCCCGGGTTACTAGGATATATTATATTATATGTAAAATTTGATAGATTCATTAATGTATACAAATCTGGTGGAGGCCATAACCATAAACCACGTTTATTTGCATCACGTATAATATGACTTATAAATGGAATAAATATGAAACACCAAAATATAGTGAAAAATCTATTGAATTTTAAACATATAGGATAAGATATGAAAAATAAACTAATAATTAAAAGAGTATAAATAAGTAGATATAAACCAGCCCAATGTAAAAATGGTCTACCAGGAAGTTGACGTGCAAGCTGAAAAGAAGTATATATAGAAAGTATTAAAAGAGAAACTGTTATAATTTTAGTTTGATTATAGAAATACAAGAATAGTGATTGATATAATCAAACATTTTATGTCTATTACTCAGTGATTCTACATTTTTTTAATGTGTTGTGCAAGAAGGTAGCGATAGAATATGTCTATGACAATCGGTGTCGAAGAAATGAAATTCAAATTTGTTGATCAAATACACGTTTAACTATTGGTCATTGAGTCATAAATCTAATGATAGGGAGAAGAGGATAGTGGTAGTATCTGGATACCTTAATCGAATTATGTCTAGCATAGTTCGAACATGAGACCAGTGATTGAATCACCGTACAAGTGAAAAAAAAGAATGGCTATGTTGTTCTATGAATGGGCAGAAAGATGACACTTGATGATATGATGTAACTTAGGACTTAATGGTCGTAATTACTAAGTCAACTCTCTATTGAACAAGTAAGTGGTTGTCTTGTCTTAGTAGCTAAGTGGGTAACCAGTTGACGTTTGAAACGAGAGGTGCTGGGTCTGAGTCCCAGTGTGAAAATCAACATTATGATGGTGGTTTATCCAGATGACGAGTCTCACGTAAAACGGAACGTACATCTTAGATTTTACTACTAGTCACAACTCATGTATTCTAATAAAACATTGTATTTACATTTCTATTCATAATAGTATGACCTTTACTTGTGTACACCGATGCCTTATTCCAGTTAACTACACAGATCGATGCATTTTAAAGTAAAGATATATAAGTTCTAAAAAAACCTAGTAATACGCACCATATTTACTTAAGTATCTTATAAATAATCGTTAGCAAGGTTCGATAAAAGAGAAACGAAATGTAATGAGCAGCCACACGAAACCGAAAATGTCATTTAAACGTGACAATACGACACGTACTTCAATGCTCGTACTTCTTGAAGCTATAAAATGATCAATATCCGGTAGTATTGCACCGAATGCTGCCCAAAAACATGACTCAAGAGTCATAATTATATTTTTTCGGTAACCTGTGGTATATAAATCTAGTTTACCATTTATACTAATCAAACAACATAGCCAAAACATTGAACCAGTTAATCCATGGGTAAGAGTTTCCAAAAACAAATGTATATGAGAACCTGAGTTGACTGACTTGCATAATCTAAATCGTAATTAGATCGATGCATAATTACAACAAGGATGAACATACATTTCCAGTAACCATAATGAAAGGGAACCGGTCAGGATTAGGAATACTTCATAGTTTATTTCAATAATCTAAAAAGAATCTGTATGAGGACGTAAAATTATTTTTTTGGTTTACGAAAAAAACAGAGTGTTACAAAAATATACGATTTATTGTTTATGATTATATACAAAGTTTTTGATAATAGTCTGTTTATCCAGAGTTCCGTGAAGCATCCTCGTCACCATCATTTTCACCTTGAAATCTAACTAACTCTTGTTCAGCATCGTCAAACGCTCGATTTGAAGGATCAACTTCTTCATCATACTGTAAACATTGATCAACTTGAACTAGTAAGTCTGTTATAGTATCTTCTTTATCCCTGTTTAATGGGACAAAATGAACTACACTGTAACGCTCAATCAAATCAGCTAGTGCATGAGTAAGTTTATTAAATGGTGCTTCCTTTTCGTGATGTTCCCCACCGTCTTCTTCATCAAATACTTGATCCAGATCAAAAAAGTAATCCATATCAGGATTTAAATAACGAGCCATGACATATTTTTGTTTTTGTTCAGATAACAAATCAAGTTTAGACATTACGTTTATATGAGCAGTTGATAAGGATACCATAGCAGAGAGAGCAGACAATACACCAGCTAGAAAATGTGATGAATCCACGAGAAATCTAGCATCCAAAATAAATATTGTAACAAAACGAAAATCCCATTTTCTTTGCATATATTCAATTATTCGTGGCATAATCGGTAAGTGTGAGTATAATTCAATTTGACCAGGACAATCAAATAATAAATAATCTCCATCTATATCACCAAGTGCAGTATCCAACCAGTTCAAATTTTGTTGAAGATATTCTAAGCAGAAAATGAGTCCACCATTTGGACCTAAACGTATAGCCTCATCTTCCATTACATCATCTAACTAAAAGTGTCCTAGAAAAATCCAGATTAAATAACTTACATGAATAAGGTCTCGTATATCCGCTAGTGGAGTATATTCGAAAAACTCCGCTGCAGGGTCCAAATTGACCACGTCAACTTTCCTCCTCAATGTTTCACAATGGGCTTGCATTGTACTACAATATGTTGATTTCCCACAACCAGCTGGCCCTATCACCAGCTGGGCAAATCTAGGCATTATCTTGAATAAATATGCCACGAGAAACCAATATGCTCTAGCAAGAAATAAGAATCACTTTCAAATACGGCAAAAAAGTGAGACTTAAGTGAACTAACTTGGAAAATAAAATCAGACTTTAAAGAATATACATAAAAACAATAATTGGCTTTTTATTTACGATTTGTCTGATTTCGACATAGATACGAAATCTCCCTGTGCACAAGTCCAACTGGCAGCACGAGTGAGAAGGAAGTTTATAGACTAAACGCCCCCAAATGCCCTGGTACGGCCGAGAGTGGGGAGAGTCCGCTCTCCCTCTTGAAATACTCTCACACGGCCACGCGTATATAGCCTTTGACAGGGAAGTCCTACTCACTGCCTTCTCGTGGCGGGGGTGTTGTTTACGAAAATGAGAGGACGAAAAGCGAATGTCCGGAGCTTTAACCGGATTCCAAACAAATGGTGCACATGGGCTCCAGTATCCTGAGGGAACAAATGGCGTATGAACCAATTGTTGGTCACCGGCTTCCATGGGACTGCATCTCCTTACGATGCTCCACTGCCTTGTGGATCAGACCCTCAGGTCGAAGGCTTCGGGTGTGGCCCCCCAAGTAAACCACCTGTTTCCGTTAAGGCACCCGGGCAGTATCACAGCCCTCACACATATCGAATGTGATTCGTGTGGTGCATATGTATTTGGTGCCTCTTTGTACAAATATCTGTGTGTTGAAATAAATAAAATAATACATAAACTTGAACATGATAAGTCATATTACCATGATTTATAATAAGCGCAATAATATAAAAACATGGCGGACTTGAAAGACATAGTATTACGGGGAACATTTTTGCTTTAAAAATCGAGTGATTTCCCAAAGAAAACTATTAGAAAGACTGAATGATTACTACTAATTAACCATAGGTTTTGTTTTCTTACATGTCAAACCTACTGATTGCAAACCCATGCTTATTAACTATTCTGGAGAAAATACGCCTGGGAATTTGTGGGATATATATTGAAGCCAATGGAAATAAGTGGGTGCATCAAATTTGTATTTTATGTACACTGCTTTCCATGTATAATCATAACTACAAGCTAATAACTAGCAAAAGAATTTAACCAGCCACAGGTAACAACAAACCATGTTTTTTAATCCTAAGCAGGACTTGATATGACGCAATCATGTTACTTAATTTGGGTTGCAAGATAAATCATCGATTCAAAGTTTTCAACTTCATTTAACTTAAACGGTAGGTAATAAGGTAAAACCTATCAAGTAAATATATTCAATATAAAGCAAATACAATGACTCTTTAGAGAAGCCATAGAATGCTGAACATGTGAAAGAATTAATATTTTTGATAGCCAATAGCCTACTACATATCGTTTCTTTTTCTATTAGATCACTTCTCAGCACCAAATATCAACAAGTAGCCTTCACAACGGTATAAAATTATTGTACGATAACTGCTCATATTTCTTAAATTTTACATACTATTAATTAAGTAATCAACATTTTTGTGTTGAGCTAATGTAAATAATCTGACTCCTTTACATTTGCTTCTTGATTTCACGTTGCAGTCTTGCATTTATAGCATTGTCTAGCGGGGGTAGTCTAGCCAGTCAGCTGCAATAACTCTAATGAGTTTGACAGAAAGTTGAAGGTGAATATTTCTTGAGTATAAATGAATGCTTATATTATAGAGTAGTGAAGTTGTTTGACCCAGCAACTATCACAATACGGTGCGGAAGATTGTTTGTTTAAAATATGAAAATCATAGAATGAAAATGTAGAAGAACCAGAAGAAAATAGTCAAAAGTAAGTAGATTTTTTGCCCAAACAATATAAATAAAGCTTAAGAACAACAGACAAACGGTGTTAAAGAGTAAAATGGGTGGAGATAGGCTAATGATGATAATATGAATAAAAGTAGTAATAATAAGTTTCGACCAATGCGTCAGACCGCAGAAAACAAAACACAGGCACAACTATTCCAGGCGAAGTACAATAAACCATGGTTAAGCACATGGTTAACAAGCTCCCCGTCACAGCTGTACAATAAGGAGGTCATGATCACAGGCTAGGAAAGGAAAGTGTTAGCTTATTTGGGGGTTCGCTCTCTGAAGTGGGATTTTTCGAGGGATATCTCTTGAAGTTCAATGGTAGGGTTCAAATAGAACTTATTGAAGCAACTTAGATTACTCTGTACAATTTATATCACTAGTAGATTATCTTTTCCTCCCATAACCTAGCGAGTAAAATCACAGGTGGTGAAGTCGGCCTTCATATAGTTTATTCCTTAATCATATGACCGACTTTGTTGTACCACGCCGTACTTGTTCCAAGATATTCATATCCCTTTTGAGCAGAAGGGGTGCGATAATGTTGTGAGTTTCCAGATGTAGGCAGATATGTATCGGATATTGCAGGGAAAAAATCAGGAGTCAACAAACTAAATTGCCTTTGAACGAAGTATTCAGTAGTGTAGGCTTAGGCTGATAGTTGTCAGTAGGGTCAAAGCTTTCTGTTAACAGACCTAGATCGCGCCCCATCCAGATTCTAGAGTCCGCGACCGCGGAGAAAGCGGTTGGTTTGATATTCCTCAAAAGTTTGAAATAGCATGGTTAGATACATATGGAGGAGAAATGTCAAACAGTATATGTGCCCATTTTTCTAGAAACACTGTCAATTTGCTGCTTTTGTAATTTGCTTTCACTCCTGATGACTGTCTACAGTTTAGTATCGTACGCGTAGATAAGGACTAGTGAACCGAAGTTTTCCAGATCGTTGATCAATACAAGAAACAACAGAGGGTTCAGTATGGCTGCTTATGAAACGCCAGATATAGACGATTTTTAGTTCGATCGGACCCTATTTATTTTGCTGCAGAATTTTCGGTTCTGTAAAACGTTTTATAGCCAGCGCAGAAGTTTATCCACTAACTATTTGTCCGATCTTAATCGATGGGATAGAGTGCGACACTGTATTGTATGCTTTAGTGAAGCATATACGACATATACGGGCACTTGTGGACAAAAGAAGACTTCAGATAATTCACACAGAAAGAATGTTTGTGTTCAACGACTAGTCTGTGTTCCATGTAATAGCTTATAAACGTTCATAGATGGTGGATAGTAGAAGATTCTGAACATTTTTTTAATACTATGGAGCGTTTGTCTTAGCAATCCAGTAACTGGTTGAATCAAGGTCTCAGCAGATTTCTCAACAAGAGCTGTTACGTCGTGTTTATAGTGCTTTTGACCACCGTTTGAATTTATTTGTTTAATACATGACTTGACTGTTTGTTGAAGTGCGTGTTAGAAACACCGACTATTTCGACGTCGATGATAGTTTGTCGATTGTTTCCCATAGTTCAGAAGGTTCACTGATTCGTAGTTCCGACTCTAAAAATAATTCGAAAAAGATTCCCCAGGTTTACTTTCGATTCCTTAACAAAACAACTGCGTGAGGCTATAATTTATGGACGACCTATGAGCGACACTAGACTAACCTTGAAAGTGTCCACCTACTAACTAGGGCTAAATGAGGGTTATAAAGCAGTTTGAAGAATAAGGGTTATGATTTACAGATGATCGTTAAAGTTAGGAATTACTATTAGGGTTTTCATCACGAACTGACATCAGCTATAATGCCAAAACTCTACTCAGTCAAATGAGTGAATGAATTTGCGCCAAAATCTAAGACCTGTTATTGTAAATCTGATTGCTTCGTCCATCAATTATAGTGAAGTACAAGAC